GGGGGGGCGCTGCCAGAGCAGAGCTGTGCCCTGCCCTGGGCAGCCCTCCCGCTTGCTTTGCCACCATCCCGTGCCTGGCCTCATGCAGCCCGTCCCCGGGGCGTCCCGTCACAGTTGCTGGCAGCCCCCAGTCGGCACCAGAGCTGCCCCGCTGGGCGTTGGGGCGCAGGGAGAAGAGCAGCCCCACGGCACAGCCTCTGGGCAGGGGGACCAGCTCCATCTCTGCTTCCCCCTCCTGTTTCCACCCCCCGGCACCATAGATGGGGGACACCAGTTTTGGGGGTGCTGCTCAGCGGTTCAGTCTCACTGCAGCGTATTCAGCTCCGTCCCGTGGGGTGGGGACACAGCATTGACCCCAGTCTCCATCTGCTCAGGGCTTTCCCCCATGAGGGGAGCCCCCGGGCTCGCTGCTGGGGGGCATAGACCCCCTGGGGCAGCCAGGGCTTATTTTGGCACCTTGACCACCTCTTGAGGTGGGTCACAGCCCCATGGGCACTGACAGGTGCCCCTGATGCCATGGGGCAGCCCAAAGCCCGCAGTGGGGTCTCTATGCCTAGGGATGGGGCTTGCCTGGTGCTCCACCAGCATGGCAGAGGGGATCTGTGGGGCAGAGGGGATCTGTGGGGCAGGGTCCCACACAGGGCTCACAATGGGGCACAGGCAGCCAACCTGCCCGCTTATGGGCCCGTGTGCTGGCCAATCCCACGTGAGTACCTGTGCTCCGACCAATCCCATGTCAGAATCCATTTGTAGACCAATCCCATGTGAGAATCCATGCACTGACCAATCCTGTGCTGGAACCACTGCTCTGACCAATCCTGCATGAGAATCAGTGCTCTGGCCAATCCCATGTCAGAATCCATGTATTAACCAATCCCGTGTGAGAATCTGTGCGCTGACTTATCCCATCTAAGAATCCATGTGCTGGCCAATCCTGTGTGAGAATCCATGCACTGACCAATCTCAGGTGAGGATCCAGGCGCTGACCAGTCCCAGGTGAGAATCCAGTTGCTGCCCAATCCCATGTAAGAATCCATGCACTGACCAATCCCATGTAAGAACCTGTGCATGGACCAATCCTGGTGAAGCCCCCTGCAGCAGACTGTGTCCTGGCCAATCCCTGGTGCGGGAGCTGCTCCCTGGCCAATCCTGGTGGCCGGTTTGGGGCCAGGGGGGTTGATGAGGGGCGGGGGGGACCCCCATGCTCTCCCGTGGGGCAGGCTGGGGGGGGGGCAGTGACCCCATGCTCTCCCATGGGGCAGGTTGGTTTTGGGGTGAGAGGGTGTCCCCGCAGTGGGGTGGCAGCACCCGCGGGGGCTGGCAGCAGGGGA